GAGGCCCCCCCGGGGCAGGGCCGAGCGCCCCTAGCGCCCCCGCTTCTTCCCGCCGTCCCCCGGGGTCCCTCCAGGCTGGCGCTGGGGACAGCCCCTTTGCTGGGGTGGCCCTGCCACCTCCTGGCCGGTCTGGGGACTGCGGGGGTGACACGGGCCGGGGACACACCCGGCTGCTCCGGGACACGCAGCCCCACGGGGACGGAGACAGGGCCACAGTACTCTGTGCCCCTCACCCAGCTTACCTGGCCTGGGGGGTCTCCTCCTCTTCCCCCTCCTCTTCTCTCTTCTCCTCCTCCTCTTCCTCCATCCCACCAGACAAGCAATGCCACGACCCCAGGTATCACCAGCCATCACCAGTTACCACCGGACATCACTGGGTACCACCGGACATCACTGGGTACCACTGGACATCACCGAGGACCACCGGCCATCACCGTGCCACCGGTTATGTTGGCATCACCAGTCACAGTGAGACCTGGGCCCTCAGGAAGGACCCTCCATGGGCACGGCCCCACCAGTCTGCAGCCTCCAACCCTGCCCTCAAATCCAGGTGCCCAAAATTCAGGCTGGAAATCACCAATTTGCAGCAGATCAGACCCGTTTCCCTCACTCCAGCCACAGCATCACCTCAACCCCCTTCACCAGCTCCTCTGAAGCAGGCTGGCCAGCTAAAAGCCCCAAAACGGGCTTTTTTACACTGAAAACAGGAGCAAAACCAGCCCAACAGCTCCCCCCTCCCAAACCGCCCCGCATTTTGCTGCTTAGAGGAAAATAGTACCTTACAACTCTAAAGTTTTATTTTATTTCGCCCCTCCTGGGCAGAAAACACCAAGTGCCACAAGTTTTTCCACACCAAAACACACTCTCAGCCATGCCACCCCCGAATCAAACCATGGGAGAAGCAAGCCAAGGAAGAACAATTTAAATAAACTCATTTAAAAATCCAGATACCAACCCAACCCTGACCAGCGCCATGCCATAGGAGGGTCTTGTATAAATACAGTGCAATAATTACATATATCTTGCAGTGGCATAATTAAAAGCCGTATCCAGCCCCATGTCTGGGGATGCATCCCAAGCCCCTCTGCAGGTGATGCTCCAGTCACCAGTTGACAGCATCCCTCCTCCCAGTACACTCCAGTTCAATACTATTAGCACCAATAGCTCCAAGAGGCTGGAGGGAACTGGTGTGGATGGGGAAGAGGGGGCTGCTGTCACCCAAAGTGACCTCAGCTTTGCTACCTGGTTATTTTCTTTTTCTAAGGATATTCCAGATGTGGTGAGGACAAACACTGCTGGAAACGACCCACCACGATCCCGAAGAACCAGTTTAACTGAGGAGCAACCAGAGTGGTCCCAAAACACAACACCCCTTTACGCAGCCATTCTGAGCAGGGGTATCTTTGCCACCCAGGCGTGCCCCTAACCCACCTTGTGCACCCAAAGGCACCCCCAGGGCAAGTGGGGGGTCATGGTGGGGAGCATCAGTGCTGGCACCTCCCAATTTTCACCCAGCGCTGGGATGGGGCCAGACACTTCCCAGAGGCTTAAACCTCCCTGGAGGGACTTGCAGAGCCCAAAGTGACATCAGCCCCCAGGTGACAATGCAGGAGAGTAAAAAGCCACCCAGCGTGACCAACACCACCCCTCTACCCTGAAAACCCAGCACCCCCTGTCCCACCCCACACTCTCCAGCCACCTGCAGAGACCCCACACACTCAGGACATGGGTGACCAGGTGAACGGTGGCAATGGGGCTGGGGGAGGCTCAGTGGTTCAGAAGGTCCCCCAGGTCGTACGCCTCAAAGAGGTCGCTGACGCCCTCCCCCTCCAGCCCCCAGAGGTAATCGTCCGGTTCCAGAGGGGGCGAGAAGGTGACGAAGGGACCTGAGTCCGGGTGCAGGGGGGCACAGGGCAGCTGGTCCTCCGTCTGCTGCAGGAGGGGGGGGGGTGAGCCCAGGAGCCCGGCTTCCACCTCCAGCAGCGAGCTGGGGCCCCCCGGGACAGCAAGAGGGGGTGAGGAGGGGGTCCCTGTGCCCACCCAGCTGTGGGTGATGGCGTGGGGCGGCTGTGGGGTCAGCTCAGGGGTGTTCAGGGGAGAATGGGGTGTGACGTGGTCCTGCGAGGGGGTGGCAGTGGGTGGGATGCTGTGGTCCTTGGTGGGAGTCTCCTCTGCTATCTCCTCCGGGCAGAGGTACACCTCGATGGGGCCCACGGTGCTCTTCAGGTGGAGCTGGAGGTTGTCCTGGGGGGGCAGAGCAAGGCTCAGGGTGGCACCCATACCCAACCTCACTGCCCCCAACCCAAGGAGGTCCATTGCAACCCCCTAAGGACCAGCTCCAGGTCCAACAGCCCCACAGAGTCACCCTAAAACCACCCTTGGGACATGCCAGATGAACCCATCGAGATGCAGCAGCACCCACAGCAGCACCCATACCCCTGCTGCAAGGCGGGGAGACAGCTCCTGACCCCTCCACACACCTTGCCGAAATCCGGCACCTCCAGCAGCGTCTCTGGGGGAGCCTTCACAGCGATCACCGTCTGCTCCTGGAAGCTGCTGATGGCCCGGAGGTCCTGGTAGGTGACGTACGCCAGCGTGGACAGGGACAAGGTATAGGAAAAAGAAGGAGTGCAAGTGGGACCCCCCCCACCCCATGCCCTCCAATCACCTCCTCCAGCTCTGGGGAAGCCACTGGAGGAGAAGGGGCTCAGAGGGGTCCCCAAGACCCCATCCATCCCCAGTCCCCAAAGCCTTGTCCCCTATGCCCAAGAGCCCATTCCCTATCCCCAAGACCCCATCTTCTATCCCTAAAACCCCATCCTCTGTCCCCAAGACCCCATCCCTTGTCCTGAAGACCTCAATCCCTATCCCCAAGACCTCGTCCCTCTCCCCAAAACCTTGTCCCCTGCCCCCAAGACCTCATCCACTATCGCCAAGACCCCATCCCCTGTCCCCAAGACCCCCTCCACTATCGCCAAGATCCCATCCCCTGTCCCCAAGACCCCCTCCCACCTCCCAGTCTCCCCAGAAAGGATATCTCTGGTTGGCTCCGTCCTCAGTCAGCCGCCGCAGAGCCACGGCGCAGTCGTGCAGGAGCTGGTCCAGCGTCCTCTCCGTCCTGCCCAGCTCCACCAGTTCCCCCCGCAGCGCCTGCTGCTTCGCCGTCACCGCCGTGTCCTCAAAAATCCCCGTCCCCCTACCAAAAGAGATGGCACAGAGTGACAGCACACCCTCCCAGCTGTCCCTCACCCTGCCACGTCCCCATGTCCCACACCCACCCCCACCAGCATCGCCTACATCCACTGGATGTTGTTCTTGGACTTTTTTCGGATCAGCTGGATGCCCTCCAGCACGTTGGTGATGTCGTAGATGCGCCGCTTCTGCCCCTCCAGCGCCTCGGCCGCGCGGTTGAGGTCCACGACGCCGTCGGGGGACTCGCTCAGCAGGCGGATGAACTTTTTGGTGAGGAGCCCCAGGGAGGTGTCGTAGCGCGTCTTCTCCCCGGGGGATTTGGGGGCTGCGGGGAGACGAGACAACCCCCATCCTCTCCTTAGAGACAACCCTCATCCTCTCCTTAGCGTGGGCCAGAGACATGTCACCACAGGAGGTGGCACAGGACATGATGGAGATGTTAAACACTATGATCCCTAATCTAGTGGAAGATTAACCCAAAAATAACCCCCAAACCCCCCCCCTTAGGGAGTTTTCTGCTCAGATTTAGCAAGAAGGGGTTGAGGAGGGCCATGGGGCCACCTCAGATCACTTTGGGTGCTAAAGGGGATATCGCAGCAGCTCTAAGAGGGGAGAAAAGCAGGGTCTGTGTGTGATCCCCAGCCCCCCCCCATCTCACC